AGAAGGAGGAGGATGAGGGGGAATGAAAAGAGGAGGAAGCGGAGGACGACTACAACAATTACGACTGCCAAGACCATCATCATCATCATCATCATCACTGCCTTTCTCACCCTGCACAAGGGTATACGCCACGGACAAACACTTTCCACCTTTCTCTATCCTGGGCTAGCCTCGTGATGTTATTCCATGTCTTCCCACTATGGTCAAGACCATAACTTTATGAAAGCATTTCCCTTCCATAAATTTAAATTATCATTGCAGCACAATTTTTTTCCATTCTTCCAGATAATTGAACCGTCTGACGTGCACAAGAAGACAGGCCTGGGAGCACCTCACACAACACACTGTCTCGGCTCTGGTGAGGTCATGATCTCGTGCATCGGTGACTCAGAGGGGGGCAAGACAAAGAGTGAGTATGCTTGTAAAAAAAAAGGGGTTTGTGGTGGGGGGTAGGGGGTGAGATTGAGGGGAATAGGGGATTACGCGGTTGGAAAGTCGTCTTTGCACCTTTTGTTTTATTCGGGGAAATTTTATTCAGTTTGAGATGTGTATAGAAGGCAAATGAGAATATGAATAGATGGGTGACAGAAAAGTCTTCGATAACAGTTCTTTTAGAGCATTCGAGCAACTAAATAAATAGTGAACCATGATTACCAATTTTTATATCAATTCTCTGGCACTTCACAATGATGATGATGATGAGAAGTATGATATTGTGTTGTTGTTGTTTCTTCTTCCATTCAATTCGTTTCCCCCTAATGCGACAGAATTGTCAACCAGTTATGACACTATTTTTTCTTTTAGACAGTTTCAGCTTCTAGAGTGGATAGTGAATATTTGGTAGTTTTTTATTACTGGGTGGGTTTGTCATCTCGTTTTTAAATGTTCATTTCATCAGCTTAGGATTTACTAAGCGATTAAAGAGCTGTTCAATTCCAATTTTGGGAACGAACTTCTTTATCAAGTATCTCTATTTCTGTCTGCGGGGATGTTATGTCCCTCCAAGCCTGAATCGAAGCATTCCACCCGGGGCGGTGCCACTGACTGAAGTGTCTTTAGGCCATTCCCAAAGGGGGGGGGGGACATTTCTCGTTCCAATGCACAGTTGACTTGTAAATGGGCTGATCTAACAATGTCATGCTCATAACTGTGCATGAACTACAACAGGGAACTGCTGTTTTTTCTTTTCTAATCCATACTATCGTCATTTTCCTCTACTGCTTTTGTATGTTTGTCACACTTTTGTGACTCGCTATTTCCGTGGTGCCTTGATAGTCGAAGCAGACTTTGTGCTGTTGAAGCCAGAGAGGTGAGCAGAGTAAGTCTGATTCCCAGTAAAGTCTTCTGTGTTGACATCCACTCCTTGGTGCTCATGACCTTATGCAGTTGCGAGCGCTGTAAAACCTCTACTAAACGAAACTAAACCACCTCCTAATAAATGAACTAGATTATATCAATGGTGGCATAACACGGTTCCATTGCCGAGGAAAAAAGTGGTTGTCTTAGACAGGTGGAGATCTAAGACATTGATAAATAAAACAATGCTTGGAGGGGGGGGGGGTATTGGAATTAATCGTTTGTAACTGTGATTGTCTTAGACCGTAGGCTGTTAGAGTGTTGGAGCAGATTTGACTTGTATACTTTTTTTAAGTGTTTGTGTGATTAAGTTTTATTCTTTTAGTTTTGGATCAATTGTATCTTCAATTTTTTTCAAATTTTCAACTTATTCAAGCTGGGTTCATCATCTTGGATGGGAAAGACTTTAGCCTGATGGAGAACTGGGAAAAGGGCCACATTGAGATGGGCTACGACTTCTGGTACCAGCCCCGGCACAACGTCATGATCAGCACAGAGTGGGGAGCTCCCAGGGCCTGGAGGAATGGCTTCAAACTGGAGGATGTGGAGAGTGGTCAGTGACTGTTGTGTGTTTGTGTGAGTGTGTGTCTGTGTGTCTGTGTTTGTGTGTATATGTGTGTGTGTGTGTGAATGTATGTGTTGGGGGATGGGTGGAGTGGGAGGATGGGGGAGGGGAGGGTGTTTGAAGAGAACAAAAGAGAGAGAGAAAGAGTGCTTGTATGTTTGTGTCTGTGTGTGTGTGCGTGTGTGCCTGTGTGTGTCTGTGTGTTGGTGTGTATTTGAGAGTGGATGTGTCAGACGGTCCATCCATCCATCCATTCATCCGTCCATCTGTCCATCTGTGTATACGTCCATCAGTTTATCTATCTATCTGTCTATCAATCTATCTATCTATTGTCTATCTATCTATCTATCTATCTATCTATCTATCTATCTATCTATCTATCTATCT